CGATTCTCAAACTTTATTGATTGTCCTCACTACAAGTTGTTAGATTTCTATAGTTCCGATTAATGTTAATGTCATTCATGTGAAAGTATTTCTTAATAAGTTACCCACTAGAGATGATCTTTGTAACACATACATTAATATTCATTCTACAATTTGTCAAGTGTGCGAAGTCGATTTTGACATTTCTGCACATCTTTTCTTTGCCTATCAATTATTGATTGTGATTTGGGCTAATTTTGCATATTGTTAGGGCATATCAGTTACTAGGGGATTCCTATGATGATTGGTTGGCGTGGTTTTCAACATTTAGTTTAATGAGTGTTGTTAAAGATTACTTGGAAGCAACTTGCATGACAATTTGATGGAACACCTGCCTTATTGAAATGGTTGGCTATTTGGCAAATTCAAACCCAAAAGTTGTCTTATTTTTTTGGATGTTGCTAAATAGACACTCCATGAATATTTCTTATCAAAATCCAATTTATGAATAACTATTTATAACTATCTTTTTCGAAAAACAAAATAATTTTAACAAATAAAAATAACTGAATAACTGAACATGATGTCTATCTGATAATATATAATGTCTTTTTAGCCAACCTGTATTATTTATATTGTGGTCACTCAACCATTTTTTTTTCTAAGAAGAGTAGAAAGTGTAAACCTAATCGGTTAGGATGGCTTTAAAACTACATTCAAATTATTTCTTTGATTAATGTTTCATTTTGATGTCTACTATATTTTAATATAATCTCTTTTTGTACATTCTATAAAGAAAAAAAATAGTTGCAAATTTTTATTTTCGCAACTTATAATTTATTTTGGAACATACAAAGTTTCGCATATAGTTATCACGTTAACTATTTTTAAGAAGGTAAATAATATGCTAAACGTAACTAAGAATCATTATCATTTTGGTTAATATGCCTATTTATAAAATAGGAGTTGATGTTTTCAATTTTTTTTTATTATTCTATTTATAAAGTCATTTTATTTTTATATACTTTATTTTCATTGAAAATAAAAAATAATGATAAAAATATCAAATTCAAAACATATTTTTTTTTAAATAGGCAGATCAAAACATAAATACAAATATGGACCCCTCTTGTAAAAATAGGTTTTACAAAGAAGAATTAATGGAAATACATATTTCTTCTTATTATTATTATCGAAGTTATATTATTAATTACATATATAAATACATGTTGGCAATTCAAAAGTGTGTATTTGAAAATTTAGGCTTCAAACTCTTGACTTTGAAAATATAATTTTTAAATGAAAATTCGTATACCATGTAATCTAGCTAGTGGAAGTTAGTAGTTTACTATTTTTCATTGGTTTTGAGAATACAAACACGACGGTTAAACTAATAGTTAATTATAATTTCAATTATCATAATTAGTTGGTAAGTATGCAATTTGTCAAGTTGTTTCTTTCTCGTCTTTTTATTTTTTTCTCTGGCATGGTGGGTTTGTTGAAGAGTTGGTAAATATAATTTTGATTATTTTTTTGGTTAGCATGATAACTTGGAAGATGGTATCATGGAGACGGAGGTGAAGATCGATGACGATGAAGAAAAAGATTTTTTATTTGCTGCATTTTGCCTTTTTGTTAAATTTCAATTTCAAGACTTTTAATGATGAACCTACCAATTCAAATATTCAATTAAAGGTTCTGAGATTGCCTCGTCGAACGTAACTCAAACTAACCGACATATAGATACTATTTACATCTTATCCATCGCAATTGTTAGACTATTACTTTTCGTGTTCAAAAACACAATTCGCCATAAAATGGAACACATGACATTACGCACAATTTTCAGTCTATTACTTTTCGTATACTAAAAAACGAGTCACAAAATGGAAAATTCAATCGACTGATAAATCTACTAAATTGTCTAAAATGTTGATAAGAATAGTTTTGGTAATACAACCTAATTTGAACGAGTTTGGTGATATCTTATTTTCTTGAACCTTCATTTTACAACATGATTTTTTTTTTTATTTACATAGTTGTGTTTAGACTTGTTATAATTCGTAACTAGTGGTTGCCACTAAAGGACTTTTAGACCAATGGTATCCAATGTTGACCTTCCTCCTTGAGGTTGATGGTTCAAGTCACATGGAGTTCCAACAGGTTTGGACTGAACCAAGTAGAATGATTGCAAAACTTGCTTAATGTACTTTTGTTGAGAAATACAAAACCGTCCTGCTCTTCTATCCCTTCGAATCTTCATTCTAAGTATCTCCTTTGTAGCTTCCAAATCCTTCATCTCAAACTCAATCTTTATGATCGCCTTCAAGTCTTTTGCTCAAGCCTTGTCATTGGCAATGATGAGCAGGTTATCAACATATAACAACAAATATATGTAGGAATCCAGTGACAATTCCTTTGAGTAAACAAAATTGTCAAATTGATTTTGAGAGTAGCCAGGCGAGATCATGAATAATTCAAAAATCTTATACCATTGACTTGGAGACTCCTTCAAACCATACAGAGATTTCTTCAACAAACATGTGTGATCATTCTTAGAATCAAAGAACCCTTCCGGCTAGGACATGTAAATTTTCTCTTCTAAGTTCCCAGGAAAAAATGTTGTTTTTACATCAAGTTGTTCAAGATGCATATCAAATGCACTCACCATGGCCAAAAGAACATGAATTGTCATGTGCTTCATAACTGTTGAGAACACCTTGTGATAATCAATTTCTTCTTTCTGAGAAAACCCTTTCACCACCAACCTTGCCTTGAACCCGGTTGGTTCAACTGTTTGAATTAATTCCTTCTTCTTACAGATCCATTTGCATCCCACTAGCTTTGCTCCCTTTAGTAATGGAACAATATCTCATGTTTCATTCTTCTCCAATGATTGCATTTCTTCATTATGGCCATAAAAAAATTTATTGCTTCTTTACTCGCAACTGCCTTTTTATATGATTGAGGCTCCTCAGTGTCAATGTATTCTCCAGTTGCCAAAGCAAATCCAAGGGATTCAACTCACATGAATTGACACATCCCACATATCTATCAGGTTGTCGAATAGCCCTCTTTAATATCATCATTTCTATATTTTCAGATCCATCATCTTGTCTAGGTTGTTCACTACCAACTTTCTGTTCATGACTTGTCACAACTCTATCTAGATTTTGTGGTATAAAATCCACCTTCTTGTTAGCACCCTGTGATGTAAGTTAGAATCGAGTAACGAATACGTGACCAATCAAAGAAAACAATAAGAACACATCGAGTAAATAAGATCAGATTGGCAAATATTTCATGTTTAAAAAGTACAAGAGTTTGAGAGTGTTTTACAAACATGAATGAACAAAACTTACTCTCAACCCTAATACTTACCCTATTTATAGGGTGTTACAGACACGACAAATAGTACAATGACTAAACATTCTAGTTCGAATTTAACATGTGCCTTGTAAATACATATAGAGTCGAAATCATTCTGATTACAAACCCTTATAGACTCAAAAGTATTTTGACTCCTCAGTATCTATATTTTGACCCCTACAATCTCTCCCTTAGTGACAGTAGTCGAAATTACACCATAAGCTTCAACATTTGTAGAAGTACATTGTGAACTTCCATATACCAAAGAATTGTCTTTCGAATATCAGCCTTGTCTTCAACTTCATTTCTTTTGTAGTTGTTGATGCAAACAAGAAGATTGGTATATTGAACATTCGTATACCTCTCTAAATCACTGAATTGAGACAAGAATTTTGTCAACTTCCCATTCTTATTCTTCCCTCAAAATACAACCCCAAGAGGTTGATGAATAATCTCCCCATCTTCATACTTGTCAATGTTGATATTCCCCTTCAGCAGAGATTAAGGAACTTTTGAAGGCTTGTTAACAGCTGAAGCAAGCTCAATATCAGTAATTGCAATGCAATCATATTAGTTGTCGATGAACAGCTTGATACGAGCAAAACCAATGAGAAAATCTTCCTTCTTGGTTTCTGTCAGCTTCGAAACATCCACATTACTTAAAATCCTTGTCATAGCAACCAAGTCATTTAAGTTAATCGGTGGGAAATTAGCAATCAAAAATTCACAAAACACATTATTCGCTCTAACAACCACATAGAGAAAATTTTGTAGAATGCCTTCAAACATGTATTCACGTGTAATTGTCATCACCTTTACATTATTCACTAATGAGAAAACTTATTCTTCATTCTTTCCCAATTGTGCATGAAATCATGTCTTCATTCTTTTGAATTCTTCTTTATCTTTGAAGTTTTCAACGATTTTTAATTAGGAAGAGGTGAACAACTAGTGATTCATTGGGAAGTCAAGCTGATTAAAATCAATGTTTTCAACATCATAACTCATCTTATGCACTTTGTGAAAATAGTCATTCAGCCCAATCAAAACAATTTCTTCAATGGTTTCGTAACACCACTACTTGTTAGGATCACCCTTATTCAAGCAAGGTGGGTCATTTTGTCTTTGCCTCATTATGCTGTTGATTTTTCCTTTGCTTTTCAATCTCCAGAGCTTGATATTTCTTTTTCTCTTCTTCTGAAGAAACCACCAAAATAGCTTTCCCTTTATGACCTTAATCTTTTTTCGAAGGTGGTGGCACAGAACTCGAACCTCCAACTCCTTCATTTAGTATGATCCCTTTCGTGATTGGTCTTGTTGTTGATGTTGACGTTGTGGTCAGTGAAATAGGAAGTGAAGTCGGTATCTGAGTCTAAATCACTTTTCCAACAACAACTCCTTTCTATGAATCCTTCGAAGACCCAACACCTCCACATCCTTTATCTTCTCTTTATGACACTTGCCTAACAGTTGGAGCATTCGTTGGTAATCGAAGAACCAACTCAAGGATGGGAGTAAGCTCTGATATTTGTCTCAATGGTCGAAATCAACTAAGAAATTGTTTCTTGAGAAACAGAGGATTGACTCGAAAGATCAGCTTTTAAAATTGATTCCTTGATACTGGTTAGAAACTCTTATAGTTTTGCGAACACCTAGGTATCCTTCTCTGATTTTTCTTCAAGCTTGGTCGAATAGTCAGTATTGAATTCAACCAAATTTGTGATAGCAGTTGCAACAACATCCACTTTGCTATGCAACAAAGTATAATTCTTCTCCATCTTTCCCACCTCTTTAGCTATCTCGTACATAAGTTCAGCCACCTTAAAATCCACAAATTGTTTCATCTTTGTCACTTGTTCCAAAAAAAGATCATGACGCTCCTTCGAAACATCACGAAGCTTTTGAATTTCATACTCAAAGCTTTTAGAATGAAAATTCATTTGTTCGATCTGTTTCTGTTCAAAGCTTTCAACTAAACTACAAAGACGATTCTCATGAGACTTCAATAAGTACACCATCTTTACCCCAAAAACAAAACTCCTTCCCCCATAATCAGCTTGTAATTAAAGAAGAGAATTGATTTTGTTGTTGAGGATTTTGAATTGTTTATCTAACATGATCATGTTATCCGGTGCATTATCCTCCTATGGGTCAAATTGTAGATCAACAAAAGACACTACAATCTCATCATCATTTGGTTCGTCGTGTTGAACCACTCTCTCAGCTTCAGTATATTTAGAGGAGAAAAGGGTAGTAATTGATTCATCCGTTATTGTGGAGTATGTTGGTGAAATGGTTGAAACTAGAAGTGAAGTTGGGATGGGTGATAAAAGTGGTGGTAAGGATTTGAATGTTTCGAGTGTAGAAGATTTGATGGTGGATGAGATAATAGTTGAAGTGAGAATGGTGGATGTTTCAAGAGTAGAACTAACAGAGACTTCTTTGTTCCACACCCCTTCACCCATATTGACATTTTTGTCCTTATCAGATAAGTCTATAGGGATGTCTGGAGTTCAAACCTCTTTCATATAGGACTCAGTATGCGAACACCCAGGTAGTATGAATGTAGTCTTATCATGGATGGATGTAGATGTTTAATCATTCAAACTTGTGTTTGTATCTGTAGTAGATACATGTACATTGACACCAGGATCTCCTGTCTTCTAGAAATTCGACTTGAGAGGAGAATCCCTTCGAGGTGACCCAAACCCAGAAACAACATGTCGATTATCCCCATTATCACTATCATTATAAGTTTCGACAGTGACTTGATCAAGTGGATATTGATGCTTTCACTTCTTTTGTTATAATTTCTGAGCCATGTCGAATGATTGTCTTTTCTTCGAGGATGGAGAGACTAGAACAGGAACTTCTCTAAATAACACACCTATTCTGTTGAATTGAGGCTTTCTAATCTTCTTTATATTCTGAGATGAATGAGTATGTGAGGAATCAACTTGTGTTTACTCAATTTTCTCGATTTTAGGTTCTTGAACAGATAGCCTAACTGGAGAATCATGAGGCTCTTAGTTGGCTTATTGGTACACTAGCATACCAGTTTTTGAAGGAATCATTTCTTTAGAAACTTCCTGTACCACAGGTTCTAGTTTTTTAGTATGCTTCTTCTTCTTATTCGGTACTTTAACAAATTTTGAAGAACCCTCAACCCCTTTCGATGGAGGAACACCAATTAAATCAGTATAATCAATCGAGGCCAACTACTGAACAAGGCGTGGATTTTACGGATCAACATGTCTTAGTATCGTATCTGGAATACAAACAACATTAGGAAATAGAACTGGATCATCAACAACAACCCGTGCAGCAGCCATCGTCGAAAATTCAGTTGTTTCGGCATCAGAAGGAACCAAAATCGCTTCTTATTGATAAACCTCTTTGAGAATCAAACACCGATTTTGAGGACATAAAACATCATTCGTCAAGTTGGTGTGAGTAATAGTTGTGCTAAATTCTTCCCATAAAAATATCGTATAATCCATAGCAAGATCATAATAAAGCCCATCAAGAATGGAATACATTTCCAATTTGGCTTATCTAATCCAGGACTTCGACCTGTCAAGCATCTTAAGACGATTCCAAATAGAAAAATCCATACACAGGGTAGACCCGAATTTTTAGAATGACTGATTCCATCCAGAATAGGTTGATGCCCCATCTCATTCTACATGTGAAGAACTTGTTCATTAGTAACCTCATAAAAAGTACCTGAGACAGGTAGCTTCATGATTTGAACAAATTGTTTCCTTGTGAGATTTTTCGTCTTGGAATTTGCTGTTTGAAACGTGAAAATTTTCGTAGTATTGTTGAACATTGCCATGGAATCAGCAAGAGAAATCCAAGTCATTGGAACTTCAAACAAAGATGATAACATCATGGAGAAAACAAAGTTATTTAGGGTTTGAATCAGCATCCATAACTGCTCTGGATATTGATCCATCATTGGCAGCAATCATAGATTCATATTATGAATCTTCACAAGAGGTTGTAAAATTTCTTCTTCATTGGTGGTGTTTGTAGGGTCAACATTGTTTTGAGGATCAGCCACGATTGTGATTTCCAAGATTATTGAAGACGATGAATTGTTGAGAATTTTGGGAAATTTGTGTTGAGATGATAAAGTATGAGAATGATACCACCAATTTCCTTATATAATCTATGGTATTTTTGAATTTTCTCCAATTACCAATAATACATTTCCACGTATCGCTTTGGTTACCTAACCGGTACCGTAAAAAACTCCATGTCTTAAAAAGTGATCATCACGTTTTCCTTAAATCTTGTGAAAATCTTGAATCATCACTTCTATCGGATCTTTCATTGTGACCACCACTTTTTTTCTGACTATAAGCATGTACTTTGTGTTGTTTTGTCACACCCCAAAACCAAGAACGGCGGAAACGTTCTGGGGCGGAGGACGTCATGTAATGTATCACAACACAGTAAATGTAAATAAGCAAACAACATCATCCATTGCATTAAATATATAATTTTAATACAAGTGTGTTATGTACAGTATAGACACCAAAAATAATGTATATCAAAATAATAAGATGAGTCTTGGATGCATTCCATCTTCTCAAAAGCTGGCATCGGTACCTGTCTACTGATGACCTGAGAATACAAGTTATTTTGAAAGAGTTTATCAGCATTAAGCTGATGAGTTCATAAGTATTTTAGTGTCATTGTTTGTTGTCAAAACGTTTGAACCTGTCTCAATGTATAAGTTTGTAAAAATGTAAGTAAGTGTTTGAAAGTGTTTGTAAAAGTTTGAATCTCTCAGAAAAACCTATATTTTCTATTAAAGTAACCTTCTACCAACGCTTAACTGTTTTGTATGCTCGTTTGATGTAAAAGTGTGTAATTTCCCAAGTGTAACTATCATTTAACAAAATATAGTTTGTACATTAACATTTAAGTGAGGTTATCACTAAAATATGTAATGGGTAAATCATTATAGTACTGTAGTTTTGTATTATAAGAACTACTATTGTACTAACTACCTTAAACCGGATTTATATTAAGGTATAATGTGATAAATTGCACCATGCTATCGACTGGTAACAACGACATAATGAATGGTCGTAATAACGGAATGACGTTTGGCACCCGCAGACCTACAGGTCCGGCTGTAGCTAGCAGCAAGGTGTAGGATAGTCAATCCAGTATAGATTTATACGCAAACTCACGCTCTCCCTCCAAGAGAATTCTGGCTACAACTCGGTCCATGACATTTAAGTCATGCTCCGACACAGTGGATCACAATTTTTAACGTGTTCATGTATATGTAATGTTTCTCGTTCTAGTATAGTTGTATATGTACTATTTCTAGTATAGTTGTATATGTACTGTTTCTAGTATAGATGTATATGTACTGTTTCTAGTATAATTGTATACGTACTGTTTCTAGTATAGTTGTATATGTACTGTTTCTAGTATAATTGTATATGTACTGTTTCTAGTATAGTTGTACATGTTCTGTGTTACCCCGATGGTAACTAGCTATTGATGTACTGATAATTATGAATATGGAAGTACTTTTATGTCTATACATGTATATATGATATATAACTAATATTGAAACGACCTTCGGATGGTCACCCGAAACCCACCAGACCACATCTCAGTGCGCAAAAAGGAAATAGGGCGGATGGCCTTCCTAAGCCCTTTAAACATTACTTATATATCTATACATATATGGGCATGCAATTTATAAGTAAGTAAACAAAGTTTAATAAAATCATTTGATAAGTAAAAGAGTTTGTAAAACATTTTGAAGTAAAGCAGTTTGATAAACAGTTTGAACAGTGACAAAATCATTGGTTTTCTAGTTATTAATCACATGTGATTAATGCAATCACATGTGATTGATGCAATAACTATATATTTAACTTGTATCCCCCCCCCATAAAGTATTTAAAACATTTAAAAGTATTTCAAAGGTTGATTAAAGGGGTATGAACTCACTTGTGGTGAGTAGATTGGATTGATGTATCGGGTACCGTGCTAGGTGGCAAACGGAGACTTGTTCACACGTTCGAGCCTAGTTATCATATAATGAGCATATATATAACTAATTAGCCAAATAATAACTTAACAAAGTAAGTTGAGACACTTAGGAACATGTAAATACTTTATATAAGTGTTATAGTCCTAATGGTTGCATCTAAGTTGATACGGGACAAGGCAAAAGGGGTTTAATGCACCAATGACCTTGTATATGAGTTCACCACCCAACAAACCCCACCCTTTGGAGTTTATGGCCGTGAACCCATGAGTTTACGGCCGTGAACTCCTCACTTGGTGGTTTTGGGTGTTTTGAAGTGCTATATTGATCCTAGAATAAGCCTAGCCTTGTTGGAATAATCCTTGAAGTAGTTTAAGGCCTTGGAATGCTGCTTTGGGGAGTTTACGGCCAAAGGACCATATCCCCTAGAGTTTACGGCCGTAAACTCCTATGGGGTGTTGGTTTTAATTCTTTTAGGTCACTTGCACATGTTGGATAGCTTCTATGTTTTTGTCTAAGGCTAAAGGGGACATTAGGCACACATTTATGCCTTTACTTGGAGTTTACATCCCAAGATATGTTCCTTGGCCGTAAACTCCCTTTAAGGGATGATTTTGATGTAATTTGTTCCCCATTCAAGTCCCAAGTATACAAGGTTAATTGTCTTAAGGCTTTAAGGGTGTTTAGGGCATACTTTGCCCTTGAAAAAGGGGTTTACGGCCCAAGATCTTTCATTGGTCGTAAACTCCTAAAACCCTATGATTTTGAAGTGTTTTGGTGTCCAAATTAACTACAAGCCTTAGAGGGTAAAGGTCCTTAAGCTTTAGGGGTGATTTAGGGCACTTTATAGCCCTTAAAAAGGGGTTTACGGCCCAAGAGATATCCTTGGCCGTAAACTCCTATAACTAGGGTTTCTTGGTTGATTTCTAGTCTCAAATGTTTATACATTAAGCCCTAAACAAGTTGTCTAACAAGGAATCGGGACTAGGAAGC